ACATTTTACAGTATCGGCCCCGATACCCGATACCAGTATCGGTATCGGTGCATCCCTAGTTCCTATATGATGTTTCTTTTTAAACCTCTGACTACACACAGGTGTTTTGTCCTGTTTCTCACTCTAGCAGAGAGTGTCTTACCTTCCTACGCACCTGTTGCTCTTTGGCTGAGTGGATCTTGACGTGTTTGCGTAGGGAGCTGGGATCCGTGTAGCGCTTGGTACAACCGGAGATCTGACATGCATACGGTTTCTGGAGGAGGGAGGAAATATTTCTGTTCAGTCATTAGAGCAAAATGCATAAACTTAGCTTTTCTAATAACAGAGACACAGAATAATTTAAGCAGCTAAAAAAGAAAATTGTAAAGGAAAGGAGAAAAATTAACATGCAGTAAATATGAAACTTCTTGTAAGTAAAGGCAAAGATAAAGTCCTACCTTTCGGCTGAGAAAGACACACAATGTGAGGTAAAAGGAAGACCAGACAAAGGATGAAAAGAAAAGACAATCAGTTGACAAAAATTCGAATACCACAACATCTCTTTGGTTATTAGTTTTTCAGGGTTTAAAGCATCGTGTTTCACTTGCAGTTGCACTCACTCAGCAATGAAACCCATCTCTCTTGCTACTGACAGCACCGATACTGCACGATTAATAATGTATAAAGACTTAAAGACAAACACTATAATATATCAGCGTAAGAAAGACACTCACTGGCCACTTCATTAGGTACCGCTCGTTAATGTAAATGTCTAATCAGCCAATCACATGGCAGCAACATATAGACGTGTTCAAGACAAACTGCTGGAGTTCAAACTGAGTATTTCAGAAACTGCTGATCTACGGACATTTTCCTGCACAACCATCTCTACGGTTTACAAAAACAGAAAACATTCAATAAGAACAGAAATGCCTTTTTGATGCAAGAAGGTAACAGTAACTAAAGAAGAACATCTATGAATGCAGATCACATAAAACCCTAAAGCAGATTGGCTGAAGCTGTAGAAGACCACACAAGGTGCCCATCAGCAAGAACGAGAACAGGAAACTACGACCTCACTGCAATATTTTGAAGGCAGGGTCAGGATTGGTGTGAGCAACCTGGAAGCATGAATCCTTCATGCCTTTATCAACAGTTCAAGCTGGTTGGTGCTGCTGTAAAAGTGTGGGGATGTTTTCTGGGCACATGTTGGACCCCTGAGAACAAACTGACCTTTGTATAAATGACACAGCCTATCTAATTATTGCTATCGTGTATATAACAATATTCATGGACCAAAATCTCTGAATTATGTTTCCAGTATTCGAGTTTTATGCCATGAAGAATTAGGTGGTCCAACCCTGTATTAGAAGGCGTACCTAATAAAGTAGCTAGTGAGTATAAATGATCTTATCCAACCATGTTGAGGAGTATTCTGAATAATTAAGCATTTATGTGATTATGCACACTTGATACACTGTGATGGAGTACACCACTTTCATTTCACATTTTTCTAATTAAAATGAAGGATGGTGACAGAGATTTTTTTACTTTTTCATTCAGTAACATACGTTTTACAGACTTTATTATCTCTGCACTTTAACGTTTTCTCTAAGTAACCTGTTGTCATTCCAAAGTGCTTATAATGCCACTCATCTCTGTTTGTTTTGCCAAGAAACCG